TGGTGCAGCGTCTTATAATCCCAGCCCACTCAATGAGCTGAGTCTGAGGGCCAGAAGAAATTGCTTGAACCTCTGGGAGGCGAGGTTGCCTTAGAGTGAGCTGAGATCACATGCCACTTGCACCTCCAGCCTTGGGGGACAGAGTGAGGACTCTGTTTCAAAAACAAAAACACAAAAACCAGGTCCGGGCGTGGGTGGGCTCACACCTGTAATCCCAGCACTTTGGGGGAGGGCCGAGCGGGTGGATCAACTTTGAGGTCAGAGATCGGAAACCATGCCTGGCTTAACATGCGAGAAACTCCATGTCTACTAATAATAAGAAACTTAACTGGGCGCAGGGCGGGCCTGTAATCCCAGCTACTTGGGAGGCTGGAGCAGGAGTAATTAAAAAAAAACAAAAGAGAGACCCTGAAAGGTAAGGTTGCCTCAGAGCCCTCTGTGCCAGGCTCTGCTACAGGAGGGCTAACCCACTCCCCTGATGTCACCGTGTCCTGGGGCCCTCACCCCTACTCCTCACCCCCAGAAACACCCAGGAGGGCCCAGGATGGGAATGAAGGCAATTTTACTTGGCTACTAAGAGAAAGGGTGATCTGGGGGTTGGGCTGGCTCCTACCCGGGAGGCCCATGTCCAGGCACAGCTGCAGGTGTCTGAGGGCTGCCTCCACCTCCGGCCGCCGGCTCCCCTCGGGCCCTGGGAGGACAGGTCTATGTGCCGCAGACAGGCCCGGGTTCCCACCACCAGGCTCCTCCAACCGGCCCCGCTCCCCACGGCTCCATCCAGGAACACCTCGTCCTCACCCCAGAGGCGGCATTCCCATTTGACAGGCGGGAAAGGTGAGGCCGGGACGGCGGCTGTGACCCTGGTAAACCACGGCCTTGGTCTCCCCTTTACTGGTACCTCCCCACCTGCAGCCCCGGGCTGGGACGGGGATCTGCTTACCGGCCAGGTCACTCTGCAGGGTCCCATGTGCGACCAGGTGGATGGGGGCTTCCAGGCAGGGAACTCCTTTCGCAGACAGGGAGCTCTGAGGTGGGAGCAGCCCCTGGGAGAGGCGTGAGGTGGGTGGCGGGCTCTGGCCCCTGCCTGTGCCCGCCGAGCTCTGCACACAGAGGCACTGCTTTCCCCTCGGGAGGCAGCCTCGGAGTGTCTCAGAGGCATACACGCGGCGCTCAATAAATGCAATGGACTGAAGCCATGGATGGGACCCTTCCCGTGGCCTGGAGCCTGGCCCTTGGGAAACCCCAGGTGGGCACATTTGGACGCAAATGGATCCCAGCTTTGAAGCATCAGGACGGGACCAGGGAGAGGGGGCCGGGCTTGGAGACCCCAGAAGGGGTTCAGAGAAGCTGGCATGGAGGAGGGGGTTTTAGCAGGGGTCAGGCATGCCCTCCACCTGTCCCTCCCCGTGTCCCCCACCCCGACGTCTCACCTCACCACCCCACTCCATGGAGTCAGGGTCTGGCCCATCTTTTCCTGGACCCGAGGCCTCTTTAGGTGTGAAGGGGCCTGAGGGAGGCACAAGACCTTGGAGGGGGCACAGTCTGGGCCCCGAGCGGGGCGGGGGGCACCTGCTACCCACACCCACCCCTGATGTGGAGACTGTGGGCAGGTGGGGGCAGGTGTGGGCAGGTGGGAGGTGGGGGCAGGTGGGAGGTGTGGGCAGGTGGGAGGTGGGGGCAGGTGGGAGGTGGGAGCAGGTATTGCGTAGATAGCAGGCAGAGGCAGGTGTTGAGCAGGTGTGGGCAGGGGTGGTACTTACAGGGTGGCCGGCACTGGGTGAGCAGCAGCTGGCCCACCTTCCGGAAGATCTTGCCCAGAGGCGGGGGTACGGCAAATATGGGGGGACTGTGGCAGGAGTGGGCCGGCAGCCGGTCTGGAGTGAAACCCTTCAGATGGGGGATTTGGGGTCATCCCCAGCTTAAGTCGCCCAGCTCCTGAGCACCTGGGTTACCTGGGGCAGGGGGCCTGGCCTCGGCTGAGCAGGGCAGGCTCTGGCTCATCACCTGCCGGGGACCCCACGCCGGGGACCGCCACCCACCTGCGTGAAGAAGTCATCCTGCAGCAGGTGGTCCAGGCTGGGCCGCTCGGCCGGGTTGGGTGCCAGGAGGCGTGCGATGAGGCGGCGTGCATTGGCAGACAGATGAGCGGGTTCGGGGTAGTGGCCCTCACGGATGTTTTGGTACATCTCCGACAGGGGTGAGGCCATGAAGGGCGGGGCGCCGGTCAGCACCGTGTACCTGGGCCAGGTCGGGGGCAAGAACCTGGGCGTCCAGGCACCACTCACAGCTGCCCCTGCACACTTGACTGGACCTGCCTACACAGCCCGCCTTTGCAACCCGTGTCGGCTTACTCACCTCCCAACATCCGCCTGCACCTGGCACCCTGTGCATTCCCATGCACCCTGCTTGGTTGACACCAGCATCTGTCCGTCCCCTGCCTGCACGTGGCTCGCCCTGAACTCACCTGTATACACTTTTTCAATTCTCCTATTTTTTTTTTTTTTAGACAGGGTCTCCTTCTGTTGTCCAGGCTGGAGTGCCGTGGTGCGATCACAGCCCTCTGCAGTCTCCACCTCCTGAGCTCAAGGGATCCTCCCATCTCAGCCTTCTGAATAGCTGCACACCACCACTCCTGGCTAATTTTGGTAATTTTTGTAGAGACAGGGTTTTGCCAACTTGGCCAGGCTGGTCTTGAACTCCTGGGCTCAAGCGATCCTCCTGCCTTGTCCTCCCAAAGCTCTAGGATTACAGGTGTGAATCACCACGCCCGGCCTCCACCTTCCAATGCTATCCTATGCCCGCTCACACCTGCCTTGTGCCCACACATGCTGCATCCCTGTACACATACACCCTGACCTGCCTGTGCTGCTGCCACCTGCCCATACCTGTCCACGTGTCTGTGCACACCCTCCCCCATCCTCCCTTGCACACGCATCCCCACACACATACTGTTCATACTGCACACTTGGTGGTGACAGGTGCCTGTTCCATGCGCCCCACCCTGCACACCAGTGCCCACCTGCTCCGTGCAGGCTCCCCCTTGCTGCACCTGCCCCCCTGGAGGCCCTGCCCGCCCTCCCCAGGACCCCACTCACATGATGCAGCCCAGAGCCCAGATGTCTGACTGGCAGGAGTGCCCGTTTCTGGAGACAACCTCGGGGGCCAGGAAGTTCGGGGTCCCACAGAGCACTCTAGGAGGGGTGTCATGGGGGGGCTCAGGAATGCTGGCATCCCCGTGCCAGACTTCAGGGCCAGCCGTGCCCACCCGGACAGACTGTTCAGAGCCCCCCTGGCTCTCACCCGTGGCAGCGGCCCCCTGGTCCCACCTTGGCCGCCAGCCCCAGGTCTCCAATCTTCACCTCCATGTTCTTGTTAAGGAAGAAGTTACCTGGCAGTGGGAGGGGCATCGTGCATGGGGGCAGATCTGCGCCCACCTCCCGACGCCTCCGCCCACAGCCCCCGCCCACAGTTCCCCCTTCCCGGCACTCCTGACGCCTCCGCCCACAGCCTCCGCCCACAGTTCCCCTTCCCGGCACTCACTGAGCTTCAGGTCTCGGTGCACGATGTGCCGCTGGTGCAGGTAGTGCAGGCCGCTGACCAGGCCCCGCAGGTAGTAGCGCACCTCTGGCTCCGTCAGGGTCTGCCGCGCCCTCAGCACGTGGGCCAAAGACTGCAGGTGACCAGCAGGCAGCAGTCCCGGCACCCAGCGGCCCCACATTAGAAGGCAAAGGTAAGCTCAACCTGGCCGAGGTGGTATGGCTGACTCTGGGATGAGTACAGGTGAGCACAGATGACCAACCCCAATAGGAGCCTACGGGTTCAGATGGGCCCACGTGGCCACTGAGGGGGGCACGCACCTTTCCCCTCAGGCACAGTCACTCAGCCCCAGTCCTGCACCTGGCACCACCTTGAGGGTGAACATGGCGCTGGTGGACATGCCCGTCAGCTTGAGAAGGAAGGACCAGGTGATCGGCAGTGAGCGCAGAGGGGGCATATTCTGGCACAGGTGGACCCAGGTGAGCTCAGGTGTACTTAATGGGCACAGTGAGTTCAGGGATGTATGATGGCATGACTAAATTCAAGTAGGCCACGGTGGGCACAGCTGGGTGCAGGAGGGGCGTGGGCGACCCCAGGTAGGCATAGGGGCATGCTGGTGTGTACAGGTGGGTATGGGTGAGTCCAAGGGGGCCAAGAAGAAGCAAATGTATTCTGATGGGCCCAGGCGGTCACAGGAGTATAAGCTGGGTCCAGGTGTGGCAGGTGGATCAAGAGAGCCTAGGTGTGCCCAGGTGAGTAAAGGATGGACACAAATGGCCCCATGTAGGCATAGGAAGCGCTGGCGACTGGACAGCAGAGGGCACACAGGATGGTTCGGGGTCAGCAGCGAGGTGCAGATGGACACGGGGTGGACACAGACGGGCATAGCCGACACGAATGCTGCCCTCGCCCCACCCCCCGGGCACCTGGCGGCTGCAGTACTCCAGCACCATGTACACGTGGTCGCGGTCAGCAAAGTGTCCGTGGAAGGCCACGATGTTGCGGTGTCGCAGGCGGCTGTGCAGGGCAATCTCACGGTCCACCTGCAGGCACGGCCCCGACATGTACCTGCCTGCAGGATGCTCGCCTGCCTCGTGTGCAATCTCATGTCCACCCAGGGCTGGGACGAAAGGGCAGGGCCTTCTTTGGGAAATGCTGCGGGCTGCGGGCCCTAGGGACCGACGGGACACGCACCTTTCCCTGTGTGCGAAGGCACCCAGGCCCGGCCCCGCCACGCGGCACCACCTTGAGGGCAAACACAGCGCTGGTGGACATGTCCGTCAGCTTGTAGCAGCGGCTGAAGGCGCCCTGAGGGGAGGGCCAGCGGATCAGCGGGCAGGTGCGCACAGGTGTGCAAGCCGGCAGCATGGACAGAGGCACAGGGCAGCCAGGGACACAGGTGTGGCCAAGTCTCTTCACACACACACACACCGGGGAGAAAACAATACACAGCACCCACCCTCCCACCTGGACGCACAAGAACGCACAGAGACACAGGCACATCCACGCCTGGTGCATACAGACACGGACCACAAGACAGCACCGGACGCACAACACCATGCCTGAATACGACACACGAACACACAATGCCCAGACACAGAGTCACCATGCATGGACACACAACACCACACCCAGACACACAACGCAGCAACACGCAAACACATGAATATACAATGTCTGGACATACAGTCACCATGTGTGGACACACAACCAACACCCAGACACAGCACAGGAACACACAAACACAGGGACACACAATACAACACATGGACAAAGACACAGATACACAAACACAACACATGAATACACAACTCCCAGACACACCACATATGAACACACAAACGGCATGACGCACAAACACAACAGGTGAACAAGCAACACAACACCCCGACACACACACGAACGCCGCACAGCACCCAGGCACTTGGAAGCAGTGGGCACAGACATGGCACACTCGGACCCTCGCCAGGCTCGCACACACACCCAGAGGCAACACAGCGTCGCATCCCGAGGCCGAGCCGCACGCCCACACCCCGGACACGCAACCCACGGACACACCGCGCAGCGCGCCCAACACGGTTCCCGCCACGCGAAACCCCGCACTGGAGGCCCCGCGGCTCCGGACGCGCGCCAGCGCCAGACCCCGCGCTCGCAGGGACGCGCCGCGCAGACCTCGCCGGATAGCCCGCGCCCCCGGGGACCCCAGCCTAGCCTGGCCCGGCCGCCTCGCGGACTCGGGGCGCGGGGACCCCACCTTGCCGATCAGCTTCCCACGCCTGTACACGCGGCCGGAGCCCGGGTCTCGCAGGAAGGCGGCGACCAGGGGGCGGCTCCTGCGCCGCCGCCGCGGCCGGGGCTCCATCGCGCGGGCTCTGGCGCAGCAGGGCCGGGACCACGGCTCCGGGACCGCTCCGGGGCCGCTCTGGGGGCGCAGGAGCCGCCGGGGCGCGTCTTATTGGCCGCAGGGGCGGGGAGGGGGCGGAGCCCGGGCGCTGGGCCGGCCGGGGGAGGGGCTGGAGGTGCCCGGCCGGGGAGTGGGGGGGCGCGTGGGCGGCGGGGATATTCCAGGGACTAGAGCGCGCCCGAACCCCGTGCGCCAACCGGGCGCTAGGAACCACGTTCAGCCCGCGAGCTCCTCCGACCCTGCACCCCCGGGCTGGCTGGGAACCGCTGCTGCGGCCCCTTTACCGAGCGGGAAACTGAGGTTCTCTCGCGCGTGGGGGTTTGGGGGCTTCTGGGGGCCTCTCCCCCAAAAGTGCACTTGAGGTATGAGCCTCGTCGTTCCGAATGTGTGCCATTTCGGGTCTTCCCTGCTGGCGGGTCCCTGGGGCCCACATGAAAACGCGGGGCTTGATGGCCTTGGGCACTGGGGAGCCACAGCAGAATTCGGAGCGGCAGAGAAGCCCAGCATCTGTGATGCTGGGGCTGGTGGGGAGGGCGGTGAGGCCTGGGATAGGGACCCAGGAGGCAGGACCGGGGCTTGGGGACCCATAGGCTGGGGTCCGAGGAAGCTTCAGCGCAGGGAAGGGATGGGCTGTGTGGAGCAACAGGTGGACCCTGGCTGGGGTTTGCACGGACAGCCAGGTGGGGACGTCCTTGAAATGACGACCTCAGAGAGCGTCAGAAACCTCAGAGACCTCAGAGAACAGCTGGGTGGGAAGACAGTAGGGGGCTTGGGACCCCCTGGAATCGTGGCTCCAAGCCCTGCCCCAGACTCAGTTTCACCCTTTTCCTGGGGAGGTCTCCCCTCTCCCTTCCACCCGGCCTGGGGCACAAGAACGGGCCTTATCCCCATTGTACAGGCGAGACATTGAGACCCAGGGATGTGAAGTCGCTCAGTCAGCCCAGGAAGGGGCCGCGCTGGGTTTGAATCCCGGCAGCCGCCCCTGGATGCCTCGGTATTAATCCCCAAATGTTACATAACACCAGGAATGGGGAGGGGTTACCAGGTTCCGTGGGGCTGGAATTTTCCAGGAACCAGATTTCAGAATCTGGCCCGGCCACACCACTAGGGACAGAAAACACCTTCTGAGTTGTCACATGTCCACCTGGTATCGTGAATGGGGTCCCCGTGCATTGGACGGTGCTGAGCTCAGGCACCTTTGCCGGGGTTCTGGTCCCAGTGCCAGGGCAGAAGATTCCTGGCCAGCCTGGGTCCACCGGGTTGCAGCTGGGGAGCCCAAGTCCCCTGCCGATGAGAACCAGGTGAGGCAGCTGCAAGGTGAGCAGCTCGGGGCCCGAGTGTGTGAGGTGTCACACGACTGTCACCCTGGAATCCTCCAGGGCCCGAGAGTCAGTTGCTTCCTTCCTTTTTTTTCTTTTGAGACAGAGTCTTGCTCTGTCGTCCAGGCTGGAGTGCAGTGGCGTGATCTTGGCTCACAGCAACCTCCACCTCCCAGGTTCAAGCAATTCTCCGGCCTCAGCCTGCTGGGTAGCTGGGACTACAGGTGTATGCCACCACACCCAGCTGATTTTTTTTTTTTTCCTATTTTTAGTAGAAACGGGGTTTCACCATGTTGGTCAGGCTGGTCTCAAACTCCTGACCTCAAATGACCCGTCCCGCCTCGGCCTCCCAAAGTGCTGGGATGACAGGCGTGAGACACTGGGTCTGGCTTCCAGTTCCTTCCTGATAGCAGCTGCCCATCCTGTCCTCAGTTCAGGCATTTGTTAAGCACCTACTGCGTATCTGCCTGTGTCAGCCTGTGCGGGTCCAAGGCAGACCCTGCCCTGTCCTCGTAAAAGGACCACTGCTTAGGGGACTGCAAGAATGTCCAAGATTTCACCAAGTCAGGGGCAGGGAGAGCTGGGAAGGTGGAAGGGAGTGAGCCAGGCCCGTTCTGGGCAGTAACTTGGTCCTGAGGCAGGTGCTGTTCTTAGCCCTGTGTTACAGATGAGGAAACTGAGGCTCCAAACGGCCGGTGCCAGCCCAGGCTCACCCGGACTGCATGTGGCTGAGCCTGGAGTCTAGGTGGGAGTGGATCCAGAGCTCCTGGTCCCCCCACAATAGGTCTGTCCCTCTTTCAGGCTGCCAGCCCCAGCGGTCCCAGGGAGCAGTGCCAGGCAGCGCCCTCGTGCTGGGGCGGGCGTCTGAGCTTCCCAGGGGGAAAGAAATCAGAGTTCCTGGCCCAGAGCCTCACAGCCTGCCTGTCAGCTGATGCTCTTTGCACAGAGACCGGCTCGCCCTCCCTCTCCCCTGGCCGCCCACGGCTTTTCCTGGCTGAGACTCCACTTTGGAGCTGGGAAAGGCCTCCTAGTCTCAGCCTGTGCCCTTCTGAGCAGGGACTCTGTCCCCCAGCCTATGTGAGCCCCACTAACCAGCTGTCCCCATCCCCCGCCCTGCCCCAGGCTCCCTGCTCACCCCAGCCTGGCTGCAGGGGAGTTTTGGGGGGCTAAGGATGAATGCCCACAAACACACCCCTCGGCTCTCCCTGAAGGCCTCTCACGCAGATTAGGGGATGGAGAGGGACTGCTGTTGAGTACATGTCTCCTTTCGAGGATGAAATGTTTTACATTTAGATAGAGGGGTGCTTGTTCAACACTGGGAGGCAGGAAATGCCGCTGAATTGTGCACTTTTTAAAAGGGTAAATGTTATGTTATGTGAATTTCACTTCAAAGGTTTAAAAAAAATAAATAAATAAAATTGGCCGGGCGCGGTGGCTCAAGCCTGTAATCCCAGCACTTTGGAAGGCTGAGACGGGCAGATCACGAGGTCAGGAGATCGAGACCATCCTGACTAACACGGTGAAACCCCATCTCTACTAAAAATACAAAAAATTAGCCAGGCATGGCGGCAGGCGCCTGTAGTCCCAGCTACTCGGGAGGCTGAGGCAGGAGAATGGCTTGAACCCAGGAGGCAGAGCTTGCAGTGAGCTGAGATCACACCACTGCACTCCAGCCTGGGCGACAGAGCGAGACTCCCTCTCAGAAAAAAAAAAAAAAGAAAGAAAAAGAAAAGAAAAAACGGTAAATAAAGAGGACCAGGCGCAGTGACTCATGCCTGTATGCCAACACTTTGAGAGGCGAAGGTAGGAGGTTTGCTTGAGCCCAGCAGTTGGAAACCAGCCTGGAAAACAAAGCAAGACCCTGTCTCTACAAAAAATTTTCTAAATTAGCCGGGCATAGTGGTGCATGCCTGTAGTCCCAGCTACTCGGAAGGCTGATGGGGGAGGATCGCTTGAGCCTCGGAATCCGAGGCTGCCGTGAGCCATGATCACAAAACTGCACTCCAGCCTGGACGACAAAGTGAGACCCTATCTCAAAAAAAAAAGGCTGGGCACGGTGGCTCACACCTGTAATCACAGCACTTTGGGAGGTCGAAGCGGGTGGATCACCTGAGGTCAGGAGTTCGAGACCAGCCTGGCCAACATGGTGAAAACCCGTCTCTATTAAAAATACAAAAATTGTCCAGATATGGTGGCGGGCGCCTGTAATCCCAGCTACTGGGGAGGCTGAGGCAGGAGAATCACCTGAACCCAGGAGGCAGAGGTTGTAGTGAGCCGAGATCGCGCCACTGCACTCCAACCCGGGTGATAAGAGCAAAAAACTCCATCTCGAAAAAAACAAGAAGGAAGCAGTGTTGGAGGCCAGCCTAGACAGGAGGTCAGGGAGGGCGTTTCTGAGAAGGGCCCGCCCGAGGCAGTGATGTTCCCATTTGCAAGTCTGGAAACCAGGCACAGGTCACTTGACTTCCAAAAGGGATGGGGGCCGCCAGTTAGACAATCAGGGAAGGGAAACCGGGACATTCAACTTCATTTCTCGGAATCCATACTCGAGAATGAGATGAGCTTGATAACAAATGAAAAACGTAGATTTGGCCGGGCGCGGTGGCTCAAGCTTGTAATCCCAGCACTTTGGGAGGCCGGCGGATCACGAGGTCAGGAGATCGAGACCATCCTGGCTAACACGGTGAAACCCCGTCTCTACTAAAAAATACAAAAAATTAGCCGGGCGTGGTGGCGGGCGCCTGTAGTCCCAGCAACTCGGGAGGCTGAGGCAGGAGAATGGCGTGAACCCGGGAGGCGGAGCTTGCAGTGAGCTGAGATCCGGCCATTGCACTCCAGCCTGGGCGACAGAACGAGACTCTGCCTCAAAAAAAAAAAAGAAAAGAAAAACGTAGATATTCATAGCAGCCTGATTTAGAGCAACCAAAAGGTAGAGACAGCCCAAATGTCCATCAGCAGATGAGGGGAGAAACACCATGTGGTCCATTTATACGACGGAATCACATCCAGC